CACACACTCTCTCTCTCTCTCACACACACACACACACACACACTCTCTCTCTCTCTCTCTCTCTCACACACACACAGACAACGCACAGACCGCACAGACAGACACACACACACACAGACACACACAAACACACACACACACAGACAGACAACACGCACACCCTTGTGACAAATATTTTTTAAAGGTCCCATGACCACAATACAGCTGCGGGGTTAAACGGGTGTGTAACGAATCAGACATCTATTGCACAGATATTATTTAAACTGAACTGAGCTGGATGATGACATCACTGAATTCAACGATGAACTGCCTTTAACTGAAAATTGAGTGTTTACTATTATCACTTTGCATTATTGACACACTATTTTCCTATTTAATACTGTAAAGCTGCTTTGACACAATCTGTATTGTTAGAAGCGCTATAAATACATAAAGTTGACTTGACTTGACTTGACATCTGAACATCAACAATTATATAATTTTACTATTTAAAAAAAAAAAAGATATAGCAATTATAAAAGATATATTAGTTTGATATTTTTTTGAAAAAAAAAAAAAAAAAACGAACATTTTCGGATTAGTTTTTTTTTTCCATTCCGTTCATTACATTTCTGAAGAAAACCATTGCATAATATAATTTAAAACAGTTGAGTTTTTGTCAGTTGAGTTTTACAAAAATCATAGACTAGTAATTCCTCACTTTCAAATGAAATGAAAAATGAAAACAATAGACAGCTCTTGGTGTGTTTGTGTGTGTGTGTGTGTGAGAGCTGCATGATAAATTGAGAATCACGATTTATTTTCTGTCTCAAACAGAGATCACGTTTCTCCCACGATTCTGAAAGAAACAAAATAATGTGACAAAATATTAACTGCACTGCTGCAGTCTATTTAAAAAAGTGTTTACTTAGTTTGAACTAATTATTAGGCATTTTAATATACACTATAAGCCTATGTATATTTAAAATACATTTAATAAACCAATGATTATTATAAAAATTAGGAAAAAGTGGTTTGAATGAATTATTCAATGACTCACTCATAAATACTTCACTTGTTTCAGTACTGGATGAATCAGCGTTATTGAACGAATCTTTTGAATGAATGATTCAATAACAAATGCATTTTTTAACAGTCACTTGTTGCCACCTAGTGGAGAAACCATGTAATCAACAAACGCTATTTGAAGCACCAGTTACTTTCAAAGGGGATTTGCTGTATTATGATCGCTACCATAGACATCAGTGTTTATATTCAAACTATAAACTTTCATCCCAGTATTTCTGTGATAATATGAATGACTGTAAGACAGATATAATAACATGGCAAAAGTCTGCTCTCTGTGTCAGCGGATCGTTGTCATTGAGAAATTAGATTGTGTGGGTGTTTGAATCGAGATTGCAATCTTCTAACAATTAATTGTGCAGCTCTAGTGTGTGTTTGCATTGTATAAGTATGTGTGTGTCTCTGTGTACTGTGTGTGTGTGTGTGTGTGTGTGTGTGTGTGTGTATTGTGTACCCGTCTGCGGTGGCTCTGATCGGTTGAATGTGTCTCTCCAGGCTCCGTCTAGGAAGGCAGCGCTGTAACGGTTGTCAAGGGCACCCAGGTGCTTAGCAACAGGATGAGAACCTGAACCAGTTTAAAGAAAGAAGAATACAAACAGATACACTGAAATTAACATCCAAGAATATCCACATCAAAAAACAAAAATAAATGCTCCGCAACATACTGCAAACACACACAAACACACTGCAGTACAGTCACAGAAAACACATTTATACTGATATAAAAGATTTCTGTTTCATATAAATGCTGTCCTTTTGAACTTTCTATTCATCAAACAATCCTAAAATAAAATGCATCACAGGTTCCACAAAAATATTGGGCAGCACAATTGTTTTCAGCATTGATAATAATCAGAAATGTTTCTCGAGCAGCAAATCAGCATATTAGAATGATTTCTGAAGATCATGTGACACTGAAGACTGGAGTAATGATGCTGAAAATACAGCTTTGATTACAGAAATAAATTATATTTGAACATATATTCACTTAGAAAACGTTTTTTTTTTATTGTAATAATATTTCATAATATTACTGTTTTTACTATATTTTTCATCAAATAAATGCAGCCTTTTACACTTAGTATTTTAAAGAGTTATAAGCCATTAAAGGTTGTGCATTACGGTCAAACTCCCATATTACACTGTCTAAGAACAGGAACAGCACTTTGCCATGGTAAAAATACAAAACACAACCATTAGGACAGTCTGCTTCACACACAAACACACACACACACACACTCATATACCTGTCCTTGCCAGTCTGTGCCATTGATCAGGATGAGACTTTCAGGAAGAGCAGCATCAGATAACAGAATCTGATTCAACTGATCATAGACGGCCTTGCTGAGGACCTGCAAACACACACACACACACACACACACACACAGACACACACACACACACACCGATGAATCAGCCAAACATGAATAATTCACAGTGACTCTGCAGAACAAGATGAAACACTGCATTAACATTCCTTGTTTAAAAAGCAAAGAGAGCAAAGAATTTGAGGGAATCCGAGGAGAACTGTGTTTGGAGAAAGAGAGAAACCCTGTTTACACCTGTCATAAACAGCCATACATTACAGGAATAGCTCTCCCAAAAATGAGAATTTCCTGAAAATGTCCTCACCCTGAGGTCATCCAAGATGTAGATGAATTTGTTTCTTCATCAGAACAGATTTGGAGAAATGTAGCATTACATCACTTGCTCATCAATGGATGCTCTGCAGTGAATGGGTGCCGTCAGAATGAGAGTCCAAACAGCTGATAAAAACATCACAATAATCCACAAGTAATCCACACCACTCCAGTCCATCAGTTAATGACTTGTGAAGCGAAGATGCATGTTTGTAAGAAACAAATCCATCATTAGGATGTTTGCAACTTTAAACTGTTGCTTCTGGCTAAAATATGAGTCCATAATAACACTTCCTCCAGTGAAAAAGTCTCCTGTTGTCTCTCACATCAACACATATTGGTTTAGAACTGTTTTGGCTTGTAAACAGTGCTTGATCTGTGCAGATTTCTGTGCATGATTCCAACGAGATGACTTTTTCACTGGAGGAAGCATTATTATGGATTATGACGGAAGCAACAGTTTGAAGTTAAAATGTCTTAATGATGGATTTGTTTCTTACAAACAAGCAGCTTTTCACTTCACAAGACATTAACTGATGGACTGGAGTGGTGTGGATTATTTGTGGATTATTGTGATGTTTTTATCAGCTGTTTGGACTCTCATTCTGACGGCACCCATTCACTGCAGAGGATCCATTGATGAGCAAGTGATGTAATGCTACATTTCTCCAAATCTGATGAAGAAACAAACTCATCTACATCTTGGACAGCCTAAGTGTGTGTAAAGTTTAGTTTCTGGCTGAACTATTGCTTGCTAAATACAGAAGTGAACTGAGTCTAAATCCTGGTACCTGTGTGCTGTGTCCGATTTCAGGCGATCTCTCGCTGTCGGAGCTGTTGGCTCGTTCGCTCAGCGGTTTGGAGAGCTGTCGGTCTTTCACAGGAGTGCTGCGCTTACGGGGTGTGTGTCCTCCATCCAACCTCCAACACACACACACACACA